GGCGGTAAACGGCGGCGGTGCCGATCACTCTCGATCAGTTCTTTTTCCTTTTACCCTTGCAACCTTTTCCTTCGTTGCTTTGCTTAATCCTATCTTCTCAACCTCACACGATCTGTAGAACCTCTTAAATACCGAGCTTTGGATAGTTAGGCAGTATTTGTTCTTAAGCCTAGAGCGAAGTTTCCGATTTGGTGTGGTCCCGGTTCTGTTATTGATTGATCTGATTGACTGATTATGTCAAAAGGTGTCCGATCACGCAGAGGAAAGGGATCCACCATCAATTCACGGGTATTATTGGATAATACAGAAGATCCTGATGACACTCTCAACGCATACTCTGCTGAAGAGGACTATTCTAAGCTCACGGCAAGCGAGTTGCTCAAGGCAGTCATGGAAAGAAACACCGATCCGATCATCAAGAAGATGCTGACAGCCCTAGCTGAGAAAATTCCTCAAGAGATGTCGGATTGTATCGAAGCTGACAAGCGTTCTCGCAGTTTTGTTGTTAGTGGGCTGGAAGAAGCCTCTCCGCAAATTCGACCGTCTGAACGTCAAGCGGAGTTAGAGGGGAAGGTTCGCGACCTACTGGATACACTAGGAATCGAATGCCGCCCAGTGGAAATCTATCGAATGGGTAAACTCGACAACAATCGGCCGAGGCTTGTGAAAGTGACACTACCGTCGAGATCTCACTGGCGCGCGGCACTGGGCAATGCTAAAAATCTCAAGCTCTCTCCTTCATTCAAAAACGTGTTTATAAGGAGAAGCATGACGTTCGAGGAAAGGAAGCGAGACTATGAACTAAGGCAACAGGCCTACGAAAGGAACAAAGGCAAGGGTAAGCGGGAGTGGGTTGTTTTTAATGGAGAGTTGAGACACATTGACGAGCTCTCTGCCCAAAACTCGGGAAACGTGTAGTAAGGCATGGAAATCGAAAGAATCATAGTTTGAAATGTTTTCTCTTTAACGCGCGTAGCATTATAAAGAAAATGGTTCACTTACATGATTTTTTGCTGAAAATGAAGCCCGATATTGTACTGATCACTGAAACTTGGCTTACTCCAAATATTGTTGATGCAGAATTGGTGTGTGGACTCCCATATCTCGTATTTCGTAAGGATCGCAGCCGCAGAAAGGGCGGGGGGATTTGCTGTATAGTGAATTCTTATCTGAGTTGCGTCCAAGTGAGACTGACTGTTAGTATGACCCCAGAGGTCCTCTGTTGTGATATATTCACAGACAACGCTGTCTCCCCCCTGAGACTTATAACTGCTTATCGACCGCCGAATACTACATCGACCGATGACGCCGCATTAATTGAGTTGCTATCAGATCTTAG